GCTGTGGGGACGTCGGACGGCTGGCTCGTGCGATACGACTTCCTAAATGATGAGCTGGCAGGTGGGCGGGATGTGTAGTTGGTTACGTGGTTGGGTAGGTGGGTGGGTGGACCGTTGAGAAGGGCGTGGTGGGCGCGTGCGTGTGTGTAATTTGTTGTGGGTGGGTGCAAGGATCTTCACTCATAGCGGCGCTGGGCCACGGCCGCATCACGTGCGGCGCCGCCGGCAACTCCGTGGTGGCCGTTGGAACCTCTGATGGCTGGCTCGTGCGATACGACTTCCTGAATGATGAGCTGGCAGGTGGGAAGGATGTGTAGGTGGTTGGGCGGAACGTTGAGAAAGCGGTGGTTGGGTGGGTGTGTGCGAGTGTGTGGTTCGTTGTGGGTGGGTGGGTGGTTGGGTGCAAGCCCATGCAGCGCTGGGCCACGGCCGCATCACGTGCGGCGCTGCGGGCAACTCGGTGGTGGCCGTGGGGACGTCGGACGGCTGGCTCGTGCGATACGATTTCCTGAATGATGAGCTGGCAGGTGAATGGGTGGGGGGGTGGTTGGGTGTGTGTGCTGATCGTAGGTGGTGGGGAGCATACATTGAGCTGCCTGAGAGAAGGGCAACTCCGTGGTGGCCGTGGGGACGTCGGACGGCTGGCTCGTGCGATACGATTTCCTGAATGATGAGCTGGCAGGTGAATGGGTGGGGGGGTGGTTGGGTGTGTGTGCTGATCGTAGGTGGTGGGGAGCATACATTGAGCTGCCTGAGAGAAGGGCAACTCCGTGGTGGCCGTGGGCACGTCGGATGCCTGGCTCGTGCGATACGACTTTCTGAATGATGAGCTGGCAGGTGAATGGGTGGGGTGGTGGTTGGGTGTGTGTGCTGATCGTAGGTGGTGGGGAGCATACATTGAGCTGCCTGAGAGAAGGGCAACTCCGTGGTGGCCGTGGGCACGTCGGATGCCTGGCTCGTGCGATACGACTTTCTGAATGATGAGCTGGCAGGTGAATGGGTGGGGGGGTGGTTGGGTGTGTGTGCTGATCGTAGGTGGTGGGGAGCATACATTGAGCTGCCTGAGAGAAGGGCAACTCCGTGGTGGCCGTGGGCACGTCGGATGCCTGGCTCGTGCGATACGACTTTCTGAATGATGAGCTGGCAGGTGAATGGGTGGGGTGGTGGTTGGGTGTGTGTGCTGATCGTAGGTGGTGGGGAGCATACATTGAGCTGCCTGAGAGAAGGGCAACTCCGTGGTGGCCGTGGGCACGTCGGATGCCTGGCTCGTGCGATACGACTTTCTGAATGATGAGCTGGCAGGTGAATGGGTGGGGGGGTGGTTGGGTGTGTGTGCTGATCGTAGGTGGTGGGGAGCATACATTGAGCTGCCTGAGAGAAGGGCAACTCCGTGGTGGCCGTGGGCACGTCGGATGGCTGGCTCGTGCGATACGACTTTCTGAATGATGAGCTGGCAGGTGAATGGGTGGGGGGGTGGTTGGGTGTGTGTGCTGATCGTAGGTGGTGGGGAGCATACATTGAGCTGCCTGAGAGAAGGGCAACTCCGTGGTGGCCGTGGGCACGTCGGATGGCTGGCTCGTGCGATACGACTTTCTGAATGATGAGCTGGCAGGTGAATGGGTGGGGGGGTGGTTGGGTGTGTGTGCTGATCGTAGGTGGTGGGGAGCATACATTGAGCTGCCTGAGAGAAGGGCAACTCCGTGGTGGCCGTGGGCACGTCGGATGCCTGGCTCGTGCGATACGACTTTCTGAATGATGAGCTGGCAGGTGAATGGGTGGGGGGGTGGTTGGGTGTGTGTGCTGATCGTAGGTGGTGGGGAGCATACATTGAGCTGCCTGAGAGAAGGGCAACTCCGTGGTGGCCGTGGGCACGTCGGATGGCTGGCTCGTGCGATACGACTTTCTGAACGATGAGCTGGCAGGTGAATGGTGGGGGGGTGGTTGGGTGTGTGTGCTGATCGTAGGTGGTGGGGAGCATACATTGAGCTGCCTGAGAGAAGGGCAACTCCGTGGTGGCCGTGGGCACGTCGGATGGCTGGCTCGTGCGATACGACTTTCTGAACGATGAGCTGGCAGGTGAATGGGTGGGGGGGTGAATGGGTGGGGGGGTGGTTGGGTGTGTGTGCTGATCGTAGGTGGTGGGGAGCATACATTGAGCTGCCTGAGAGAAGGGCAACTCCGTGGTGGCCGTGGGCACGTCGGATGGCTGGCTCGTGCGATACGACTTTCTGAACGATGAGCTGGCAGGTGAATGGGTGGGGGGGTGGTTGGGTGTGTGTGCTGATCGTAGGTGGTGGGGAGCATACATTGAGCTGCCTGAGAGAAGGGCAACTCCGTGGTGGCCGTGGGCACGTCGGATGGCTGGCTCGTGCGATACGACTTTCTGAATGATGAGCTGGCAGGTGAATGGGTGGGGGGGTGGTTGGGTGTGTGTGCTGATCGTAGGTGGTGGGGAGCATACATTGAGCTGCCTGAGAGAAGGGCAACTCCGTGGTGGCCGTGGGCACGTCGGATGGCTGGCTCGTGCGATACGACTTTCTGAACGATGAGCTGGCAGGTGGGTGGGTGGGGTGGGCGGGGGGGTGCGATTCAGTTGTTGAGGCGCCTCAGAAAAGGGCATCGCGGTGGTGGATGTGAGGAGCCACGTGAAAAAAAGAGTGTTTTTGAGACGTCTCATAAATCCATTCTTGAGGTGCCTCAGAAAAGGGCAACGTGGTGGTGGATGTCCAGCTGGCTCGCTCGCGCCCCACCATTGTTGTTGTCGTTTTGTGTGTGTGTGTGTGTGTGTGTGTGTGTGTGTATGTGTGTGTGTGTGTGTGTGTGTTTTTTTTGTTTTTTTTTTGTTTTTTCCTGCGTTTCCTGACCTTCATTCACCCCCCCCCCCCCCCCCCCCCCCCCCCCCTCTTCCCTTTCCCCATCCCTTCTCCCCTCTCCGCCCACCTCCTAATCCTTGCCACCTCCTTCAGAGATCAACCTAGCATCCTACATCCCCCCAGACACCTCCTCCTCCACCACCACCTCTTCATACCCATCTGCACCCCCCATCAACGGCTCGTACCGCATTCACGTGAAGAGCGTGTTTGTGGACCCAGGCGGGCGCCACACGATCTTCAGACATAATTCTCAGGCAGCAGCAGTAGTCACACAGCTCACTGAGACATGTCTGAATCTCGCGTGGACCCAGGCGGGCGCCACATACACAGAACCTGGCCATTTTCACTCTACTTCTCGCCAATAAGCCTTGTGTGCATCTGTAAATTTGTGTCCTCTATTTCTTTCCCCCAATCCACCCCCCTCCCTCCACTGCCTCTTTCAGAGATCAACCTAACGTCGCACATCCCTCCAGACACATCCTCCTCCCACTCCTCCGCCGCCCCAGCTCCCATCAACGGGTCGTACCGCATTCACGTGAAGAGTGTATTCGTAGACCCGGGCGGCCGCCACACACTCGCTGTGCTGCAACACACACCCCTCGGCGCCCCCTTCCCCTCTCCTGGGATTACTGCAACCCCTCCCACTACCACTACCAGCAGCAGCAGCAGCAGCGGCGGGCATGGGAGTGGGATGGGGGGCGCGGTGGCAGGGATGTATGCAGCCGGGACGTACTGGGATGTGGTGTATGTGCATGGGGGGTGGCAGCGCGCACGGCATGTGGCACGGCATCGCATGGCCATTGGGGCTGTTGCTGCTGTGGCGTGGCACCCGGCTCCCATGGCACATGATGGTACGTGTGTAATGTAGACGCATGGGCCGTGCTGGGAGTGGCAGGGAGGGACGTACTGGGATGTGGTGGGACGTGCTGGGGCAGTGGCAGGGATGTATGCGGCAGGGACGTACTGGGACGTGGTGTATGTGCATGGGGGGTGGCAGCGCGCACGGCATGTGGCACGGCATCGCATGGCCATTGCGGCTGTGGCTGCTGTGGCATGGCACCCGGCTCCCATGGCACATGACGGTATGTGCGGGGTGGGGAACGTGGGGCATGGGGCATGGAGTATGGGGAGGGGGTGATGGGCATGGGGGGTGGCAGCGCGTGCGGCATGTGGCACGGCACCGCATGGCCATTGCGGCTGTGGCTGCTGTGGCATGGCACCCGGCACCCATGGCACATGATGGTACGTGTGGGTGGGGGGTGGCATGATGGTGTGCATGTTGGCATGTGGCACGGCACCGCATGGCCATCGGCGCTGTTGCTGCTGTGGCGTGGCACCCTGCTCCCATGGCACATGATGGTACGTGTGTAGCGGCATACGGCATGCTAGGACGTATCGGCAGGGACGTACTGGGATCTGGTGTATGTGCATGGGGCTTTGGAGGCGTCTCAAAAGAGTGGGGGGCCAGTGGCAGGGACGTACTGGGATGTGGTGTATGTGCATGGGGGGTGGCAGCGCGCACGGCATCGCATGGCCATTGGGGCCGTGGCTGCTGCGGCGTGGCACCCCCCTCCCGTCCCATGGCACATGATGGTATGTGTGGTGGGGATTTGGGGAATTCATGCTGGCATGATGGGGCGATGGGATGTGTGTTGGATACAGTGTGGAGAGTGTACCACATGGCATGGCACATGGTGATGGTATGCTTTTGTTGTGTGCCGCTCTGCACCTTTATGCACCACTATGCACCACTATGCACCACTCTTTACCACGTCTCAACCCCACCCCTCTCTCCACGCCAGGCAGCACGCGGGAGATCATTCTCGCCACGGAGGGCGGGCGGCTCTACGAGGCGGCGTTCGAGGAAGCAGACAAGCGAGACCGCCCGCTGAAGCTGCTCTTCGAGCTGCCCGACGCCGAAAAGTGCCCCTTCCGGGGCATTCAGGTCTGTTCCTCCCAACAAAAACTCAGTGCCCCTAATGTCGATGGGAAGTACTGTTAGAAACGTGCTCTAAGTCAGTTCCCCTTTTTGAATATATACAATTGCCCCTCTATATGAAGGAAATTGCTTTTGATCCTCCTGCAACATTCCGCCCACCACCACCCACCGCCTGAATACAACCACAGATGGAGGTGCTAGGCTTACACGGGGGAGGCTCATCAGGGGGAGGCTTTTCTGGGGGAGGAGGAGGAGGGGGAGCAGGGGGAGGTGCAACTGGGTCAGGTGCATCGTCTCAGCGGTTCTTCGTCCTGGCTGCCACTGCCACTCGCCTCCTTGCCTTTGTCGGTTCCACGTCTCTTGAGGTTAGTCAAGTTGAGCAATGAGAGGGGGAGATGCAAGTGAGGGAGGTGCAAGGGAGGGAGGTGCAAGTGGGGGAGGTACAACTGGGTCAGGAGCATCGTCTCAGCGGTTCTTCGTCCTGGCCGCCACTCCAACTCGCCTGGCTCCACGTCTCTTGAGGTTCGTAACATTGTGCAATGAGAGGGGGAGATGCAAGGGGCGGAGGTGTAATCAGGGAAGGGAACAATTGCACCAGGCGCATCCTCGCATTGCTTCTTCGATCCGACCTTTCCTATCCCGTCCCAAAGTCTCATTTTCTTCAATTGCTAGAAAGAAACGATCCCAACTCCCCTTTTTCCCCTTTCTCCCCACTCGACAGGCCACCTTTGCACCCTTCACCTCTCAACTGCCCAAGTTCATCGAGCTTCCAGCCTCCTCCCCACTCATACCAAGGTACAGACAGACAGGCATACGTCGAGGCAACATTGACTAGTTCTTTATTGTCAAAGAGGGATACTTCGCATCATGGTACGTTGTTGTTGTTGTTTTTTTTTTTTTTTTTGTATTTGTATTTGTCAAGAGAAACCACCTTCCCCTCCCTCTCCTAGAAACCACCACCCCTTGCATGTCTCTCCCCATCTACCCCCAGCTCGCTGCACTTCTTTGGGCGCCAGCAGCGCTACGCGGAGCGATTTGCATGGATGGCGGGGCCTGGTGTGCTCTTTGGGCACCTCAACCTCAACGCCACATCCTCCAGGTAAGTGCAGGCGGCAGGTGCTGTTACTTGAGTCGGGTTTTGAGTCGACTCAGGGTTTGCATGGATGACAGGGCCTGGCGTGCTCTTTGGGCACCTCAACCTCAACGCCACCTCCTCCAGGTACGTGCCTGTGCGTCGGTGTGTTGCTTTTCGAAGCGCAGGCTTTCAACACTTGCTCTTCTCATCCCTTCTTTCCCCTCACCACCCTCCTGCGCCCTCTCCCTTTCCCCTCCAGCCACCCCTCCGGCTCTTCCTCAGGACCGCCCATCCAGCGCAAGTCCCTCCTGCCCTTCGCCAAGCTGCTCCCAGCCAACCACCTGGCACCTCCGATGATACCATTCTCACACAGCCCCCCCTATTCCCTCTCTCCCACCCTCTCCCCTTCCCCCTCCCTCCGGCTCCTCCTCAGAGCCCCCCATCCAGCGCAATTCCCTACTGCCCTTCGCCAAGCTGCTCCCAGCCAGTCCCATCAGTGTCCCCTACTCCTCTCCCACCCTCTCCCCTTCCCCCTCCCTCCAGCTCCTCATCAGAGCCCCCCATTCAGCGCAAGTCGCTACTGCCCTTCGCCAAGCTGCTGCCAGCCAGCCACATTAGCAGCCCGGATGATACCGATGACAGCACGGCTGCTGCTGGCGCTGGTGGCGCTGCTTCTGCTGCTGCTTCTGCTGCGGTGCATCCAATCGCCCCTACTCCTCTCCCACCCTCTCCCCTCCCCTCTCCCCTTCCCCCTCCCTCCAGCTCCTCATCAGAGCCCCCCATCCAGCGCAAGTTGCTACTGCCCTTCGCCAAGCTGCTGCCAGCCAGCCACATTAGCAGCCCGGATGATGCTGACGACAGCACGGCTGCTGCTGCGGCTGCTGACAGCACTAGTGCTGCTGCGGTGCATCCAATTGCAATGGCAGTGTCGGAGTTCCACCTGCTGCTGCTCTACAGCGACCACATCAAGGTGCGGTGAGAGTCCAAGGGGCCGGTGGGCTGGTATTGGAAGGTTTGAAAGCCGCACCTGCCCTTCTGTGCAATGGCAGTGTCGGAGTTCCACCTGCTGCTGCTCTACAGCGACCACATCAAGGTGCGGTGAGAGTCCAAGGGGCCGGTGGGCTGGTATTGGAAGGTTTGAAAGCCGCACCTGCCCTTCTGTGCAATGGCAGTGTCGGAGTTCCACCTGCTGCTGCTCTACAGCGACCACATCAAGGTGCGGTGAGAGTCCAAGGGGCCGGTGGGCTGGTATTGGAAGGTTTGAAAGCCGCACCTGCCCTTCTGTGCAATGGCAGTGTCGGAGTTCCACCTGCTGCTGCTCTACAGCGACCACATCAAGGTGCGGTGAGAGTCCAAGGGGCCGGTGGGCTGGTATTGGAAGGTTTGAAAGCCGCACCTGCCCTTCTGTGCAATGGCAGTGTCGGAGTTCCACCTGCTGCTGCTCTACAGCGACCACATCAAGGTGCGGTGAGAGTCCAAGGGGTCGGTGGGCTGGTATTGGAAGGTTTGAAAGCCGCACCTGCCCTTCTGTGCAATGGCAGTGTCGGAGTTCCACCTGCTGCTGCTATACAGCGACCACATCAAGGTGCGGCGGGGCGGCAGGGACAGGTGGTTTTGAGCTAAGGTGGCTTAATGCAGAGCAGCCCTTGCATGCAATGCTGATGGCAATGGCAGTGTCGGAGTTCCCCCTGCTTCTGCTCTACAAGGTGACTTTTGAGTCGACTCAAAAGTCACCTCGCTATACAGCGATCACATCAAGGTGAGCTGAGGACGCGTCACAATTGAAACATCGGAGGAGGATCGGGGTCACGCACCGAAGCTGTGCATGTTTCGTGATCGTCCTCAGGATCATTATACGGCGGGGTTAGAAACGTTTCCGAAAGTTGTGAATACAATATGCTTGATTTAAGTGCGGTGACAGATCGATTTGGAAGATCGATCTATCGCCCTACGCCCTACGTGATGTGTCACGAGTCTTAGCGAATATTCACGAAACAGGGAAACACGACACTGCGAATAATTGTACACCCCAAACATCGATCCCCTACAGGATCGATGTTGCAATAGTGACGCGTCCTGAGTTCTCAGGTCGTAAGGGAAGGTGGTAAAGCCACATTGTCCCCTAATGAGCAAACCAATGGTGAATGAGTAGCCCCTTGTGCGCCCTTGTGTGCCCTTGTGTGCCCTTGAGTAGCCCATGAATACCCTAGTTTTGAGGCTTCTCAGTTTTGAGGTCTAGTTTTGAGGCGCCTCAAAACATTGTCCCCTAATGAGCAAACCAATGGTGAATGAGTAGCCCCTTGTGCGCCCTTGTGTGCCCTTGTGTGCCCTTGAGTAGCCCATGAATACCCTAGTTTTGAGGCTTCTCAGTTTTGAGGTCTAGTTTTGAGGCGCCTCAAAACATTGTCCCCTAATGAGCAAACCAATGGTGAATGAGTAGCCCCTTGTGCGCCCTTGTGTGCCCTTGTGTGCCCTTGAGTAGCCCATGAATACCCTAGTTTTGAGGCTCCTCAGTTTTGAGGTCTAGTTTTGAGGCGCCTCAAAACATTGTCCCCTAATGAGCAAACCAATGGTGAATGAGTAGCCCCTTGTGTGCCCTTGTGTGCCCCTCGAGTAGCCCATGAATAGCCCATGGATGAGTTGCGAGGTGACTTTTGAGTCGACTCAAAAGTCACATGGTGAATGATTAGCCCCTTGTGTGCCCCTGAGTAGACGACTTTTGAGACGTCTCAAAAGTGAGCAAACCACTGGTGAATGAGTAGCCCTTGTCTGCCCCTTGAGAGTAGCCCATGAATAGCCCATGGATGAGTTGCGCTTTCTGCCACCAGGCACACATTTCTGGCATTTCACACAAGTATATTCCACCCCACATTCTTCTTATCTTTCCTGTTCACCCCTCCCTTCACCTTGCCCTCCCCTCACTCACACCCGTCCCTTGACTCTCTCCTCTCTACCTCGTCTTTCCCGCTCCCCTTTCCTTCAACAGATCGTGAACCAAGTGAGCGAGTTATTGGTGTCGCGTGTAGAGAGGGTGTTTTTGAGACGTCTCAAAAACATCCTCTCTACACGTGGCCCCTCCCCTCACACCCGTCCCTTGACTCTCTCCTCTCCACCTCGTCTTTCCCGCTCCCCTTTCCTTCAACAGATGGTGAACCAAGTGAGCGAATCGCTGGTGGATCAGCTGCCCTTCCACACTGTTGTTGCCCTCCCTGCTGCACGCCATGGTGGATCAGCTGCCCTTGCACACTGTTGTTGCCCTCCCTGCTGCACGCCATGGTGGATCAGCTGCCCTTGCACGCTGTTGTTGCCCTCCCTGCTGCACGCCATGGTGGATCAGCTGCCCTTGCACGCTTTTGTTGCCCTCCCTGCTGCACGCCATGGTGGATCAGCTGCCCTTGCACGCTGTTGTTGCCCTCCCTGCTGCACGCCATGGTGGATCAGCTGCCCTTGCACGCTGTTGTTGCCCTCCCTGCTGCACGCCATGGTGGATCAGCTGCCCTTGCACGCCATGGCTCCTCTCTTCACCCCGCTGTGACCCTTCTGAGGCACACCCGTTTCCGCTCTCCCTCTCCCCCACCTCCGTTTTACAGGTAGTGAACCAAGTGAGCGAATCGCTGGTGGATCAGCTGCCCTTCCACTCTGACGTTGCCCTCCCTGCCACACACACACATGCCTTTTCTCTTCCTCCCCCCTCTCCCCGTTCCCCTTTCCTTCAACAGGTAGTGAACCAAGTGAGCGAATCGCTGGTGGATCAGCTGCCCTTGAAATTGCTTTTGAGAATTCTCACAAGTGATTCTAACTTAACCGCCCTTCCACGCCACGCCGCTAATAATGTAAACCAAGTGGTTCCCCCTCCCCTCCCCATTCCCCCCTCCCCATTCCCCCCTCCCCATTCCCCCCTCCCCATTCCCCCCTCCCCATTTCCCCCCTCCCCATTTCCCCCCTCCCCTCCACCTTCCCCTCCTTCGATCCGTCAACAGGTAGTGAACCAAGTGAGCAAATCATTGGTGGATCAGCTGCCCTTCCACGCCCACACACTCACATTTTGTTCCTGCGACTACAACAGACACATTTTGTTTCCTGTGATAAAAGTAGTATTTTGAGACGTCTCAAAATACTACTTTTATCACACTCACATTTTGTTCCTGCTGCGACTACCCAACAGACACATTTTGTTTCCTGTGCGCCCCACCTTCCCCCCATCATTCCCATCTCCCCCCATTCCCACAGATAGTGAATCAATTGAGCGAATTGCTGGTGGATCAGCTGCCCTTCCACGCCACGTCGCTTGAGATGGCGCCAGGTGGCATGCTCGGATTGGTCGCTGACGAGGTTGCCTCCGCCTACTATGCATTCTGCTCCAACAACATCTATGAGGTGTGTTTTCCACCCCTATTTGCAATATGCTCACGTTCCGTGCTGCCAAGTTTGACGACTTTTGAGACGTCTCAAAGGTTTCCACCCCTATTTGCAACATGCTCACGTACTGTGCTACCAAGTTTGGCGCTCCCTTATTGAGTTTCCTCAAAAGTCCTATTGTGCCTCACCCCGCTTCCCGTGCCTCCCTTACCCCGTTCCGTACCTTACACACACTCACACCTCTCTCTCCCCCTTATCCCCTCTTTTCCCCATCTTTCCAACCCAGATTGCCGTGTGCGACGAGGGCAGGGCCATGTGGCAGGTGTATCTGGACAGGCACGACTACGCCATGGGTGGTGCTTACACCCATCTACCTCTTCGCCTACCCCTGTTTCTCCCCGTCTGTCCAACCCAGATCGCTGTATGCGACGAGGGCAGGGCCATGTGGCAGGTGTATCTGGACAGGCACGACTACGCCATGGCTGCTGTGCTTACACACACCACCCCCCTTTTGCCCAACCCTTCTTTGCCTTGTACTTCCCCTACCAGATCGCTGTGTGCAACGAGGCTAGGGCCATGTGGCAGGTGTATCTGAACAGGCACGACTACGCCATGGCCCTCTCCTTCTGCCGCACGCCCCTGCAGCGCGACAGGGTGTATGCCGCCCAGGCCGAATCCGCGTTCAAAGACGGGGACTATGAGCGAGCCGCCACCTTCTTTGCTCGTGTACGTCCCTCTCTGTACCGCATGGGGAGTGTGGACTGGACTTGACTGGCACTGCTTGCGCCCCTGCAGCGAGACAGGGTGTATGCCGCCCAGGCAGAGTCAGCCTTCAAGGATGGGGACTATGAACGAGCCGCCACCTTCTTTGCTCGGGTATGTCTCTCCTCTGTATACAGTGACAAGGTGAGTGGACCGGACGGGACAGGCACGACTACCCCATGGCTCTCGCCTTCTGCTGCACGCCCCTTCAGCGCGACCGCGTGTATGCGGCCCAGGCTGAATCCGCGTTCAAAGACGGGGACTATGAGCGAGCCGGCACCTTCTTTGCTCGGGTGAGTCCCTCTGAACACAGTCAGAAGGTGAGTGGACCCATAACCACTCATCACATCACCAGTCACCACCACTCACCACTCTCTACTACCACCCTCACCTTTCCCCCATCAGACGGCCCACCAGGTGCCATTTGAGGAGGTGGCGCTCAAGTTCGTGGAGGCGGGGCAGCAGGACGCTCTGAGGAGCTTCCTGTTGCACAAACTGGACCATCTACCGAAGCAGGAGCGGGCGCAGATGACAATGGTGGCCACATGGGCTTCTGAAATGTATCTTGACAAGGTAACGCATGTGCCGGACACAAAAGCACAAGCACAAGCACAAGCACCGTGTGCCGCAGTAACGAGGTGACTTTTGGGTCAACGAAAATGACAATGGTGGCCACATGAGCTTCTGAACTGTATCTTGACAAGGTAACGCACCAGTGTATTCATGTCATGATACACACACAAGTGGGTCCAGGTGGGAGCTTTTACGACTTTTGAGGCGCCTAAAAAAATCCGCGTGAACTGAGACGACTTTTGAGTCGCCTCAAAAGTAGTCTTCACAAGGTAACGCAGCACAAGTGTGTTCATGTGATGATACACACACAAGTGGGTCCAGGTCCCATTATCAATAAGAGCTTTTTCATGTTACCATGAAAGGAGCATATTGTTTTATTCTCTTAGTGTACATCACATCTTTTCACTCACCACTCTTCTTGACCCCTCCTGTTGTCTTCGTTTCCACCCTTTTCCTCTCCCTCTCCCTCTCCCTCTCCCTCTCCCTCTCCCTCTCTCCATCCTCTTCCTTGTTGCCTGCCGCAGATCAACCGGTTGCTGCTCCAACTGCCACCTGACTTTGAGAAGCACGATTCTGGTTCTGCTGCTCCACCTTGCCAGTCCAAGTCTGGTTCTGCTGCTGGTGCTGGCGCCGCTTCTGGTACTGTTGGTGCTGCTGGTGCTGCTGGTGCTGCTGGTGAAGGAAGCAGGACAGGAGTGGAAGGATCAAGGACGGGAGGTTCGGGAGGTTCCAAGGAGGGTTCAGGAGTGGAGGGGTTGCGAGAGGAGTATGGGAGGGTGGTGGCGGCGTTTCGAGCGTTTCTCAGCGACTGCAAGGACGTGTTGAATGAAGCCACCACTGTGAAGCTGCTTGCAAGGTGGGTGCCACATGGTAATGAGCGGTGGTGAGCGGTGGTGAGCGGTGGTGAGGGGTAATGCCTATTGCTAATTGAGTAACGGACTGCAAGGACGTTGTGAATGAAGCCACCACTGTGAAGCTGCCCAGGTGCGTAAGGAGTGGTAGGGGTGGTGACGAGTCAGGAGGGGAAGGGGAGGAACTGGGCTTACCCTGGGCAGAAGTGTGCTGGCCTGTGTTGACCTGTGTTGACCTGTGTTGACCTGTGTTGACCTGTGTTGACTGGTGTGTGTGTGTGCAGCTACGGCCGGGAGGAGGAGCTGGTGTATTTTGCGGGACTGAAGCAGCGGCACGAGACAGTTATCGAGCACTTCATTCGGGTGTGTATGTGGCCAAAGGCTGTAAGGCCAAATGGCCGTTGTCAGACCGTTTCAGTAATGCTGGGTGGGTGTTACGTTTCAAATGGTCAATGATTACTGTCTCTCTCTCCTCCCCCCTTCTCTCCTCCCCCATTCTCCTGCGTCCCCCGTGTGTCGGCTCAAACATGTTATCCAATCCAATTTCGCCACCTCAGCAAGGCGATGCTGACTCAGCAATCGCTGTGCTGCGCCGACCCTCAGTGCCTCTAGAGCTTCTGGTATGTCGCCCTCACTCAACCCCCCGTACTTTGTTTTGTCATTTTGTATTTTCTCTAGTGAAGACTTATAGCACAAAGCATGTTACAAGTTCTCACCCCCCCTACTGTCACACTCTTGAATGGTATGGTGACCCTGCTCCCTCTACTGTCACATCTCTTAACAGTCACACTGCCCCCAATACTATCCCATTGCTACTCCCTGTCTCATGCGACTATGATGATGCAACTCCCTTCACTATCACCCTCGTTTCCTCCACTCTCTATTCCTCCGCTCTCAATCCTGACACTCTCATTCTGCCACCCTATCTGCTGTTGCTGTGCCCCACTCGCCACTGCAAGTATCCTATGCTTCCTCTGTTGCTACCTATGTCCGTCCCCTTCTGTCTCCCCTCCCTATTTGCCCGTCCCCCCTCCTCCTCGTTTTTCAGTACAAGTTCTCACCACCTCTCATGCTCCTCGCTCCCCGCAGCACTGTCAACCTCTGGTTCATGTCTGCCTCTGCTACTCCTCATGTCCTTCCCCTTCTGTCACCCCTCCCCTCTTGCCCCTCCTCCATGGGCCCATCCCCCTCCCTCCCAGTACAAGTTCTCACCAGCTCTCGTGCTCCTCGCTCCATCCAGCACTGTTGACCTCTGGATCATGTCTGCCTCTGCTGCTTCTCATGTCCTTCCCCTTCTGTCCCCCCTTCCACTCCTTGCCCTTTCGTTCCCTCCCCCTCCTTCCCAGTACAAGTTCTCACCAGCTCTCGTGCTCCTTGCTCCCTCCAGCACCGTTGACCTCTGGATCATGTCTGCCTCTGCTGCTTCTCATGTCCTTCCCCTTCTGTCCCCCCTTCCACTCCTTGCCCTTTCGTTCCCTCCCCCTCCTTCCCAGTACAAGTTCTCACCAGCTCTCGTGCTCCTTGCTCCCTCCAGCACCGTTGACCTCTGGATCATGTCTGCCTCTGCTGCTTCTCATGTCCTTCCCCTTCTGTCCCCCCTTCCACTCCTTGCCCTTTCGTTCCCTCCCCCTCCTTCCCAGTACAAGTTCTCACCAGCTCTCGTGCTCCTTGCTCCCTCCAGCACCGTTGACCTCTGGATCATGTCTGCCTCTGCTGCTTCTCATGTCCTTCCCCTTCTGTCCCCCCTTCCACTCCTTGCCCTTTCGTTCCCTCCCCCTCCTTCCCAGTACAAATTCTCACCAGCTCTCGTGCTCCTTGCTCCCTCCAGCACCGTTGACCTCTGGATCATGTCTGCCTCTGCTGCTTCCGCTCCTGCTTCTGCTACTTCTTCTTCTGCCGGCGCCGCTGCCGCTGCATCTGCGGCTTCTGGGTTTGATCCTCGTCGGCTTATCCCAGCCATCATGCGATGTGCCACAGCTGTTACTGGTCCTGCTACAGCCGCCACTGGTGGTGCTGCAACAACCACCACTGGGTCCGGCAACCAGCCAAACGAGGCCGTCCGCTTTTTGGAGTTTTGTGTGCACAGGCTGGGGTCCAGAGATCCTGCCATCCACAACCTGCTGCTCTCACTCTATGCCGACCAGGTCTGTTTCATCCGACTCGAAAGTGTCAACCGAGTCAAAAGGTCCAGACGCACAAATCAGTCAACTTAAATCAAAGGGACACATCAGGTTTGCTCTCGCTCTCTGCCGACCCGACCAGGTCTGTTGAACTCTTTGAGAAGTGTCAAACGCGACAGCCAACTGAGTAGTGGCGTGGCGGTGGCGGTGCCACTCACAACGCCCTGCTTTCCTGTGGAATTCCGCCCACGGGTTGTCGTCACTCATGGTTGGAATTGGAAGCAGTGGTTCTTGCTGAAGCTTTTCTAGTCCTTTCCTCTCCATTTTCTTTTCTTTCTTCTTTCCATATTTTTTCTCCTCTTGCTTCCCTGTCTAATCAGGCCAACGAGACATCTCTAGTCAACTTCCTCTCGTGGATCCCTCCTCCCCCGCCACCGCACACCACCCTCCTCTCCTCCACCCCTTCCTTCCCCACCATCCCCTCCTCCTCCTCCTTCTCCTCTTCCCCCTCTCCCTCTGCCGCAGCCGCAGCAGTGGGGGCAGCAGGCCGCTCCCCCGCCCTCACACCCACCGGCACCACACTCAACCTCTCCCCAAGCCTAGTCAATGCTGGTGTCAGTGGCAGCAGCAGCGGAGAAGGAGGAAGAGGAGCAGGAGGAGCGACCGCAGCAGGGGCGGGAAGGGGAGGTGTAATATACGACCCTAAGTTCGCTCTGAGGGTGTGTTTAGAGCGAAGGAGGATGCGGGGTTGTGTCTGTGTGTACAGTACCTTGGGAATGCATCAAGAGGCCGTAGCCTTAGCTCTGCAGATTGACGTGGCACTGGCGAAACGAGAGGCCAATAAGGCTCGAGAACAGGATCTCAAGCGATCGCTCTGGCTAATGATAGCGCGCCACGTCATCGAGCAAGGGCTAGCAGGCCGTGCCGTGATTGGCGGAGATGATACAGGCAGGAGTGAGAGGGAAGGGGAGGAGGAGAAGGAGAGTGGGAGGGGGGATGAGAAGGGGAGGGAGAATGAGGAGGAGAGTGCAATGCGGCAAAACGTTCGGAGAGCAATTGCCCTTCTGAAAGAAACCGAGGGTTTGCTGAAAGTCGAGGACATTCTGCCTTTCTTCCCGGATTTCACCTTGATAGACGATTTCAAGGACGCCGTGTGCGAGTCGTTAGAAGCATACGGACAAGAGATCGACCGGCTAAAAGCCGAAATGACCGAGGCGACCCGGGCGGCGGACACGATCCGGAGGGACATCCAGGCGCTGAGTCAGCGCCACGTCATCGTGTCCACGCGGGAGTCCTGCGGTGTCTGCTCTCGTCTGATTCTCGCCGCCCCGCCGCCCCAGAAAACGCTGCTGTCTGGTTCTGCTGCAGCTGGCACTGCTGCTGGCGCTGGTGCTGGTGCTGCTGGTGGTGGGGGCGTTGGTGGTGGTGGTCTTTCGGGTGCAGCAGCAGCAGTAGCAGCAGCAAGCCTGGCAACAGCATCAGCATCAGCAGCAGCAGTAGAGGCGACGCCCTTCTATGTGTTCCCCTGCTCCCACGCCTTCCACATTGACTGCCTGCTCACCCACGTGGTTCAACACTCCGACCCCTTCCTGGTGAGGTGCCTTTCAGTTGAGGTGCTTTCTGGGTGAAGTATCATCTGAGCTGACTTTGACAAACAATATCCTTTGAGGTGCCTTTCTGGGGAGGTGCCTTCCTATGGAGGTGCTTTCTGCGTGAAGTATTGTCGGAGCTGACTCCCCCAGTCTCTTGCTACAGTGTCCCTTCTATGTGTTCCCCTGCTCCCACGCCTTCCACATTGACTGCCTGCTCACCCACGTCGTTCAACACTCCGACCCCTTCCTGGTGAGGTGCTTTTCAGGGAGGTGACTTCTGGGTGAGGCGCTTTCTGAGTGAGGTTTCATGTGAGCTGACTTCGCCGCACAGTGTCTTGCTACAATGCCCCCTTGTTAAATAAACACTGTTTGTTTTCCATTTCTACTACCACCTGACCTCAGATGGAGCATGTGTTGGAGTTGAAGCGGCAGCTGCTGGGAGTGCTGGAGACCCCGAGGAGGGGTGGCAAGCAACGGGGAGCAGCAGCAGCAGCAGGATTGGGAGGACTTTTGAGTCAACCCAAACGCGCGAGTTTTTTTCCCTTTTCTACTACCACCTGACCTCAGATGGAGCATGTGTTGGAGTTGAAGAGGCAGCTGCTGGGAGTGCTGGAGACCCCGAGGAGGGGTGGCAAGCAACGAGGAGCAGGAGCAGGATTGGGAGGAGTAGAGGGAGACAGTGACGTGGTGGACATTCATGCGGGACTGTCACCGATTGATAAGGTAAACCTTCACACTAGCAACATTGGATGTGGGTCGCATTGCTATCTGTATGAAAGGATTTATTCTCGTTTCGATTATTTATTTGTTTATTTACGATAAACTTACTGTTATGCATACGCTTTCCCATGTTGCTGTGAGTGTCTTCTTCTCATGTAATGGCAGGTGCGGCTGCAGCTTGATGAAGCGATTGCCAGTGAATGCCCTTTTTGCGGTTCACTGATGGTGGCTGGCACATCTGAGCCGTTGATCGCTGCTCATGAAGGAAATGTGTTAGATGCATGGAGCATTTGATTGTCTCGATCAATACTTGTTAAAACCTATCAGCCGTTGGCTTCTGCTAATGGAAAATCTGCTGCATGACCTCTGCTTGTAAATCCATGCAATTTCGTTCACAAGCTGAATAATGATTTGTACTTGTGATGCAACGTCTATCTCTGTAATAAGGGAGTACACTTGATGACACAGACTTTGTTCTTCACGGTATCCACTCTTACCAAGAATATCCCCGCATAGAACATTATCCGCGCCTCGTCCACGATGAACGTGCCGCACCGTCACCTTCATAAGCACGTCCGCAATGTAAAGCCTTCACACCCAGGCATCTCCGAATAAGTTGGATGATCAGCCACTAAACGTAAACCACGTCATCTTTTCTTAAAACCGGGGTGCACATTCAGCTGAATGTGCATCAAAGGTTATCCCTTGACTGAGTGGGTTACGAGGTGTGCTTTCAACCCCTTCAAGTCGAAATTCGTTTCCCCCCTCCCCCGCAATTTCGTTTCCCCACGCCCCCGCAATTTCATTTCCCCCTCCCCGTCGAAATTCGTTTCCCCCCTCCCCCGCAATTTTGTTTCCCCCCTCCCCCGCAATTTCGTTTCCCCCCCCTCCCGCCAATCTGTTTCATCCCTCCCGCCATTCGGTTTCACCCACTCCCGCCATTTCACCCCCTCCCGCCACCTACGAAATGCCCGAAGCTCTAGCGGAATCATTTTTTTGTCGCCCCTCGTGAGCCAATCACTGTTTTTCTCCAAACCCCCTTCCCAACATCTCAAGCCGAACCGCGTTGAATGTGCACCCTGGTTTTAAGCTCCCTTGGCAGATTTGCTGGTCGTGGTCAGTCAAGCACCACTTCATCCCCCTACACAGCATCGCGCCGCGAAATCCCTTCACGACCATCACGCACGCACAAGAAGCAGGCAAAGCAATGTCAGCAGATTTCACGAAACAACAAGCTGAAATGCGCGACGCGGGATCAATTCGAATGAATTCCGTGGATGGGCCTATCATGGTTGAAAATTGCAGATGGAAACTCGCCCCACCACCGCCACTGCCTGTCCAATTCCGCCTGCTTCGCTCTCCCCCTGATGTGCTCTCGTGCGTGCGCCCACCCACGCCTGCGTGAAACACGCTCTCACTGCGCTCAGTAGCAACCTGAAAACTCCCTCTCACCCACGTCGCGAGTTGTACAACACCGCATGCCATTTGAGCGGTGTGACGTGATGAGAAACGGCGGAGACTCCCCCCGGTCGCTTCTCGCGGCGTGAGATGAGTGCGGCAGCATTGTGCTTGCGTGGCAACTCAAGGCGTACGATTCCACGGATGCAAGGAATCTTGTCAGTCGACCTCGGCAATGCGGGCGCCAGCGTAGCCATCGTCGTAAAGTCTTTCCTTCATCGACAAACATTACGGCATTCACAAAAGCTCGAAGTCGAGACACATAATATCCACTATTCCCACCAGTGGCAGGTCTAGAGCCCTTAAATAGCACCCTTCTACTCATTTTAGAGTTCTTGCGGCGCCTTTTCATCCCTTAGTCATCTCGTAGCCCTCCACATGCCCGTCAGTCCTAGCGGCCTCGACTGAGTAGAGAACGGCTTTTCAAATTCACGAGTTTCTCCGGTCAAAGGTTGATGTTTCATTGCCGCTAGTCAATTCGAACCATGAAGTTTAGGCGGAACCTTCGTCGCACTGCCGCAGTCCACCCCGAGCCGCGCTCGCTTCTCTTCCCTGAAGTCCCCATCCGCGGCTCGAGAGATGAAGGCAGAAAGCTCGCGACCGAGTCGCTTTCAGGAAGCAATGGCGCATCGCCGGGAATCGCGGTAGCGCAAATGACGCTGGATCAGGCTATTGAAGCCTCGGCGCGCGAGCAAAGGCAAAATCAACAGCAGCCACAGCCTGCTCCGACCCAGCCTGCACCGACCCAGCCTGCACCGACCCAGCCTGCACCGACCCAGCCTGCACCGACCCAGCCTGCACCGACCCAGCCGGCACCGACCCAGCCGGCACCGACCCAGCCGGCACCGTCACAGCCGGTAGTGACCGAGCCGGCAGTGACGACGCAGCCAGCTGTCACGCAGCCGCAGCCCGTAACGCAACCACAGCCGCAGCCGCAGCCGCAGCCGAACGATGGGAGCACGCAACCGCCGCTATTCCCCGGCGTCACCCCCGCGCCCGTCGTCACCCCCACGCCCGTTGACAATCCCCCGGTCGCCAGCGGCGGGTTTGGGATCTTCCCCAGCGGGCCGGGTGGATTCACCCCCACGCCGGTGACGCCGGAAACCCCGGCTGTGCCGAATATTCCCACGCCCGCGACTCCTGTACCCACGCCGGCGACTCCTGTGCCCACGCCGGCGACTCCTACACCCACGCCGACGACTCCTGTACCCACACCGACAACTCCTACACCCACGCCGACGACTCCTGTGCCCACGCCCAAGACTCCTGCCGTTCCCACGCCTAAAGGGCCTGTCGTCGATCCCACGCCCAAGACTCCTACTGTCCCCACGCCTACCACGCCCACTACTCCTGGCGTCCCCACGCCCACTACTCCTGGCGTCCCCACACCTAAGACTCCTGGCGTCCCCACACCCACAACACCTGCCGTCCCCACGCCTAAGACTCCTGGCGTCCCCACGCCCAAGACTCCCCCTGTCAACCCCAGCGTCCCTACACCCGAAGCCCCGGGCTCGACACCCACTCCCAAGGTCCCCCCAACGGTCCCCGGTGCTAAAATTCCCCCCGGCGTTCCGAATCCCAAGGTTCCGCCTCTTGCGCCTGGTTCCACGGCCGCGCCTGGCGTTCCGACTCCTAAACTTCCGCCGCTTGCGCCTGGTTCCACGGCCGCGCCTGGCGTTCCGAATCCTAAACTTCCGCCGCTTGCGCCTGGTTCCACGGCCGCGCCTGGCGTTCCGAATCCTAAACTTCCGCCGCTTGCGCCTGGTTCTACGGGCGCGCCTGTCGTTCCGAAGCCCAAGACCCCGCCTGTAGCTCCTGGCAGTCTTGCCGCCCCCGGCGGGAAAACGGTCCCCGGCGTTCCGCGCCCCAAAGTACCCCCCGTTGCACCAAGCTCCGCCGCTGCTCCAGGTTCCGCCGCTGCTCCAGGTTCCGACTCTGCGCCTGGTTCCGCCTCTGCGCCGTCCTCTCTGCCGTCCCGCGCCCCTGCTAGCCTGTCCGCGCCAGGTTCCGCTTCTGCGCCTGGCTCCGCCTCTGCGCCTGCTTCCAAACCTGCTAAAGTTCCGAAGCCTGCCCCTGGTTCCGCCAAGGCTCCTGTCTTAGCGCCCGGTTCCACGCGCGCCCCATCCCGCGTGCCTAAAAACGGCTCCATCACCGCGCCGGCGTCGGTCCCCCCGCCGCGCACCGCGCAGCCCTCCGCCCCTCCCCCGCAGCTCTCTACCTCGGCGAACGCTGCGGCGACCCCCTTCGCGCCGACCCCCCCCGCGAACACGACCGCGACGGCGGACTCTAGCGGAAACAGCGTGTCCGCGGGCGCGGTTGCGGGGATTGCAATTGGTGTGACGCTGGGGTTCGTGTTGCTGGTGGTGCTGGGGCTGTACGTGTTCACGCTGCTGAGGCGCAAGAAGGACGAGGCCGACGGCGAGAAGAAGGGGAAAGCGGGCGGTGCGGCCAAAGGAGGTGCTAAAGGTGCGTACGCTGTCTGTCTTTACGTTGGGAAGGGCATGTGTTTGGTGTTCAAAGGCTGCTGCTTTTTTTTTCGCTTATGCTTTGCTGTTCACACGGAAGACTTCGAATTCTGTCGTGTGCTCACATTTTCCCCTCCCCGACACCCCCCGTTTTCTCCCGCCCAATCCCTTGTGCTTCCCTGCCTCAGCCGGCAAGGTACCGTTCTATGCAGCTCCCTTCAAGACGAGTAAGGCCACCGCCAATCCGGAAAGCGCGGAGTTGCAAGACGGCGGCGAGTCCGGAGTGACAGGAATTCCGCCAGCAGCAGCGGCGGCGGCAGTGGCAGGAGCAGGTGCAGTGGCGGCAGGAGCAGCGGTCGCAGCCTCTACCGCGGGATCTGCCCCTGCTGACAAAGCAGCTGATGTGGCATCTGCTGACGTAGCACCTGCGGGCGCGTTGGCAGCTAGTGGCGCAGTGAGTTCTCGCCCCAACGCAAGTCCGCCATCTGCTAAAGCGGGGAAAAGCCTGACTCCTCCCCCAGGCGGCGCAAGCCCGCTGGCGAGCGCAGCGGGGGGTGCAACAGCAGCTGCAGGAACGGGTTCGGCCGCCGGTTCGGCAGCAGCTACGGCGGGCTCGGGTGCAGCAGGAGGAGCGGCGCCAGCTGCGGGTGCGGTTGCGGGTGCTGCGGCGGCAGTAGCAGCAGGAGCGGTGGTGGGAGCGGCAGCTGCCAGCGCCACGGCAACAAAGACGCCGGCAGCCGCGAGAGCCGCCGCTGTTCCCGCTGCGGGCGCAGCTGGCGCGGGAGTGGTCGCAGGAGCGGCGGCAGCTAAGTCAGGAAACGACGAGGACGAAATCGATCCGTCCGAGCAGTGGTGGTTCCCCGCTGAAGAGCTCGACCAGGCTACAGAACGCTTCGCTCTTTCGAACAAGCTCGGGTCGGGAACTTTCGGAACGACTTACAAGGGAGTGTTGGAAGACGGGCAGGAAGTGGCAGTGAAAGTGCTGAAAGTGAAAGGTTCGCTGAGCGACGCGGCATGGAAAGCTGATGCGGAGGCAGTTTTCGCGATTCAGCACGAAAACCTGGTTACTTATCTGGGTTACTGCCTTGCCAGTTCGCAGCGAATGCTGGTGCAGGAATTTGTCGCGAACAGTTCGCTTGACGCCGCGCTGCATGGGAGTAACAAGCCAATCCTGGCATGGAATTTCCGAATGAAGATCGCGAAGGGCGCTGCGAGGGCTCTCACATTCCTCCACGAAGAATGTAAGTGGCTGCGACCCTAGGTACCTCTGCTATCCCCATTCCTGCTCCTGAAGTGTTTCGAAAGTGTTACTGACCATTCTCTGTTTTGCTGTGACTCCCATTTCCTTCATTGGCAGGCAAGCCCCCAGTTATTCACAAGGACATCAAGTCATCTAACATTCTGCTGGATGCGCAGTACGGGGTCAAGGTGAGCATACATCCCTGTGCTGTCCCAAATTCAGATAGATGTCTACATTTCCCTCCACGTTATTCAAGACATTGTCCGAAACTCATGTTTTTTTGTTGTGTCTTCTGTTCCTTCTCTCCCCGCCTCAGCTGAGTGACTATGGCTCAGCCAAGCTGGCAGGAGATGCCGCCCTCACAACCATCGTCAGCTCGGCCGGCTCTTATGGGTGAGCAAACAACACTCACCAGTTGACATGTAGGGGATCTTTCATTGTCATGGATATGGCTGTGTCACGACTCACAGAAAGGTCTTCTATGTTGCTGGTCAGGTCAACTCCCCCATGCTTCACCACTCAATCCCCCTTCCACCCCCACTCACCCTCTCTGTTCTGTGTGATTCCCAGTTACCTGGCGCCGGAACATGCGCTCACAGGCAAGCTCACAGAGAAGTCGGACGTGTACTCGTTTGGAGTGGTGTTGCTGGAGCTTATAACAGGGAGGAAGCCCAGCGACAAGCAGAGAGGACAGAAGGACAGCCTGGTTGAGTGGGTGAGTGGCTTGTCATTACTCCTGGTTCCGGGACACACTGAAGCTAATTTGTTGGATGCCACATTCCCTGTTGTAATTACTAAACCTGTTTTTCCCTCCCATCCGTTCACACATCAGGCTCGGCCACTCCTTGCCTCCAACACGCTCAAGGAGCTGGCGGACCCGAACCTGGATGGATGTTTCGGGGTGAAGGAGATGGATCGTGTTATTGTGGCTGCCTCACAGTGTGTGAGGCAGTCGGCTGTCCTCCGACCAAGCATGAGCCAGGTAAGAGGTGGTTTTGTATTTGCATGGTTCCAGTCAAGTCTTGTTCTCAGGCCCGGAGTGTCGTGTATGCTTTATCTGACGGCCCGTTTTACTCGTGTGTGCAGGTTCTACGCCTTCTGGATCAGCAGTGACAATAGCGGTAGAAGTTTGACTCGATCAAGTAGGACAAAAATGCTTTCTAGGTCGTGTGAGTCGTTTGTGAACATGCAAATGTAGGGCATGCTCCGGAATAAGCACTGAGTGCAAACGGCCTGCTAGAAAGTAGATATAAACTAGCTAGTCATGTAGTTCTGATATTGCATAACTGAAGTATTGCCCCGTGTGGCCTGCAAACCAGAAGCCATTTCTTCTCTATGTTCCAAACAAATCCCCTTTATCAGCATCAAGCTGCTGAAGGCCTTGCCCGAATTATATGATTCGTTTTTTTGAAGTGGCTCAGGCGCTCGATGAGTGATCCAACGCACCACGCAAGTCGGCTGCGAGGAGGAATCCACTACAAGCCCAACGGAATATTATATCGAAGCGGGCCGTACTTCGCCTTTGCCACAAGAATCTGCTGACATGTGAGCCTTGGCGGCGGGGAAAAAGAGATGGACGATCAGATTGCACGAGACGACCGTGCGAGGGTCCACGATTATTCGGTGATTGGATGTCGCTGACAGCGAATTGTCCACCTCATGACGCCAACAAATGACAGAAAGGCGACAAGAAAGTGCGTTTGCTGACCGTGAACGATCTGCAAAAGTCTTCCCGAAGGTCAGGGAAAAGGACAGTCGGTCAGCCACGTGGGCGCGGCGGCGAACGACAGAAGCTTGCGAGAGGAATGTTTAGAAAATCGTCGAAATTTTTTGCTTCGCAATTCACCGCATGCATTCGTACGGCTGGCTAATTGAAATTTCAGAGAGTACATTGTAGGTTTGCTGAACATCGCAGACAGGCGGTACGGAAGGGAAGGGAAACCGAAGCTGTATCAAGCCTGGGGAGTTCGGACTCTGGAATCTCTCAAATCAGCAATCAACAATCAAGCAGCCAGCCACCAGAGAGGGAACCAGCGACGCTCGGCAAGAGCCACTATATCAGCAGCCGTGCTGCTAGCCTGTCTCCACTTTTATCCGCTTTTTGGTGACGCAAGAACCCAGTTCCCTGCTGCATCACGCTCACCTCAGCCCCTTACCCGCCTCTAAACGCCATTTTTTTTTTCGTCCTGATAAAAAGTAGCTGCTTACTCTGCCTACGTCGAAATTATTCGAATAGAGGCAGTCGTAAAAAAACGTTCAATTTTAGCAATCGCTTCACGCACATAATGGCAAGTCTGATCAATCATGTGACCCAAGGAACCTGCTGTTTCACCTGTTTCACAGCCACGGTGCCAGAAAGCTCTCGTAAGACCACTAATCCTAGCACTGCAGGAAGCAACCACCTGTTGCCGCCAAATTCCCAGCGTGCCACTGTTCCGATCTCGAAGTTGCCGCGCTGCGAATCCAAGGGTCTTGTTTCGCCGGTCCCCCTCTCGCGCTCTCGCCAGTGCCAGTTACGCCATTCGTCATTCTTCGCCGGAGAAACGAACGTTCGCACGCTTTCGACCGATGGGTCGGCGTGTCTGCCCGAGGGTTTAGAGCAAGCGCAAGCAACGAGAAAGGCTGTTAGTGTTCCGTGCAGAGTAAGGTCCCAAGCGGCGATTAATCCCCATGAAGACTTTAGGGGACGGCAGCAGGATGGGCTGTCGGTGGTTTGGAGGGAAACTAGGTGAGTCGCCTGCGATCCTTCCTTACTGCTATCAGTAATTACTCTGATACTGGGCATCAGTAACCTCATCCTGACTTCTGTGTTGGACGACATACTTCGAGTCACTTAAACCAAGTTACGGAGTCGTGTAAATCAATATATGGCAGCAGTTAATATATTGATTAAATAAATCAGGTTCGGAATTCCTTTTTGTTTTCGATTCCTTTTACATTTTCTCCACACAGACGGTCGCTGAGAAGGATCTCTCCAAAGGGCGTCGCAGGGGAGCTCATCAAACTCGCCATCCCTGCTGTCATCGCCGGATTGGCGGAGCCTGTCGCGCAACTTACGGAGACTGCATTCATTGCACGAACCGGTAAATACCACCACTTCATACTTTCTGAAAACATGTTCGTATTATTATTGTCATTTTTCCTTATCTGGTGTCTGAAGTGCATTGCTTGCGAGTCTTTGCAGGAGCCGTGAGTCTCGCGGCCATTGGCGTGTCCATCTCTGTTTTCAACCTCGCGTCTAAGACCTTCAACTTCCCCCTTCTCAACCTCACCACGTCCCCCCCCCTCCCCCCCCCAATCCTCCTTGGGATCATCCGCATTGCCTGTGTGTGTCCCTGTGTGTGTCTGCAGGAGCCGTGAGTCTCGCGGCCATTGGCGTGTCCATCTCTGTTTTCAACCTCGTCTCCAAGGTCTTCAACTTCCCCCTCCTCAACATCACCACGTCCTTCGTTGCTGAGGATGGCGAAGCCAGGGCGAAAGCAGGTAACTTTTGAGCTGATTCACGAATCATTCAGGTCGTGTGATTGGCCGATCTGTCCATCCGTACGCGTTTTCTCACGTTGAGTTGAGTTAATGCGCCTCCAAATGACAATAAACCCTTAACTGTTTCTCACGTTCATTCCTGCTTTTATTACTGCCCTGACTGCTCTCCACAAGTCTTGTGACGTCTTCAATCTTCTCGTATCTCTTCTCGTATCCTGCCTTTTTTCCTGCCGTCTTCGCTGCCCACAAGCAGAAGCAGCATCAGCGTCCGCAGCAGCAGCGCCGGGGGAGAAGCGAGTGGTGCCTGCGGTGTCAGCAGCGCTGCTGGTGGGAGCCATTCTTGGGATTGTCGAGGCCGTGGTTCTCGCCACTGCTGCTGCACCCATTCTCGGCGCCATGGGCGTCCCTGCGGTGCGTGCCTTTTGTGTGTCTATTGTTTGTCATTGATGCTCTGGGTCCTGGGAGACTGGGGACACCTGCAGTGTCAGCAGCGCTGCTGGTGGGAGCCATTCTTGGGATTGTCGAGGCTGTGGTGCTCGCCGCTGCTGCTGCACCCATTCTTGGTGCTATGGGCGTCCCTGCGGTGCGTGCCTTGACCTACTCCGCAGGGCGCTGGGAGCTCCTGTTCTGTGTCTTCTCCTCCTAATCCACTCGTCTCCCTGTTCCTCTCCTTGTGCATTCCATCCTTAACATTCCTTCCCCGGCTGTGTGCATCAGACCTCGCCCATGCGTGGGCCAGCCCTGCACTACCTCTCCCTCAGGGCACTGGGTGCGCCTGCTGCGCTTTTTCTCCTCTTCCCCTCATTTCCCTGTTCCTCCTGTTTTGCATCCCCTATTGCACTGTGCATCAGACATCGCCCATGCGCGGGCCAGCCCTGCACTACCTCTCCCTCAGGGCGCTGGGTGCACCTGCTGTGGTGCTGGCTTTGGCGACTCAAGGGGTGTTCCGAGGTTTCAAAGACACTCGCACTCCGCTCATCGCTCAAGGTACATTTTTTTTTTTTTTTTTTTTTCAAGGTGTTTCTTTTCTCGCCCCTCCGTTCATCTCAACCCCTTCTCTTTTCGCAATCGGAGGCAACGTGATCAACACCTTAAACCCCGTCCTCATCTTTGCATGTGGGTTGGGTGTTTATGGAGCAGTTGGAACAGCCGTTACTCTCTTGCGCCTCTAGTATCACCCTTTGATTCCTCTCCCTTCTCTCCCTGCTCGTCTTCCTCTTCTCTCCCCAGTGGGGGGAAACATCGTCAACATAGCCTTAGATCCCGTCCTCATGTTCGCGTGCGGGCTGGGCGTCAGTGGGGCAGCGTTCATTTTCTAGCGCCTCAGCGTATCACCCTCGCTTCCCTCCTCTCCCTGCTCTCTTTCCTCTCCCTGCTCTTCTTCTCGCCAGTGGGGGGCAACATCGTCAACATCGCCCTGGATCCCGTCCTCATGTTCGCATGCGGGCTGGGCGTCAGTGGAGCAGCGTTCGCCACAGTGACAGCGCAGTACAGCATCGCGGCCTTCATGCTGTGGCAGCTCAGCCAGCGGGTGGTGCTCATGCCTCCCCGCCTCTCCCACCTCAAACTCGACCGCTTCCTCAAGTCAGGTGAGATTCCATTCCAGGCCTTGTTGCCTTCCAGTGCTCTGCAAAAGGCTGCAGCAGCCACAGTGATAGCGCAGTACAGCATTGCAGCCTTCATGCTGTGGCAGCTCAGCCAGCGCGTGGTGCTCATGCCTCCCCACCTCTCTCACTTGAAGCTTGACCGCTTCCTCAAGTCTGGTGGGTGTTGAGGGCTCTTAATCTCATCTCATCTGATATGATCGGGTAGCTGTTGCGCAAAAGCTTCGAGCAAGAGTCTCAGACTTCCAGTGCAGAAACGCATTGCCCCCGCAAGGCCTTTGCTTGGCCTGTACACTCGCTCTGCTCTGCACCATGACTCTCGCCACTTCCATGGCAACCAGCAGTAGCTCCAATATACATTTGAAAGGAGGGGTTCAAAATCCTTAGGAAGTTGAAACTTTGTGGGAAAATCGTGAGGCACACTCCCTAAACCTTAAACCCTAAACCCGAATGACAAATGTATACTCGAGCTTTGACCGCCCCTAACCCCTCTCCCTTGTTCCTAAATCCCTCCATTTCGCACAAAAACCACCAGGTGGTTTCCTTCTGGGTCGCACACTCACCTTTCTCTGCATAGCAGCACCTCACCTCACCGCTCTCTACCATTTATGACACTCTTTTTTTTTTTCTGCAGGTGGCCGTTTGCTGGGTCGCACGCTCGCTCTGCTCTGCACCATGACTCTCGCAACCTCCATGGCAGCACCTCACTTCACCCCTCTCCACCGTTCCTGACTCCTAATTACCGTTCCTGATTCCTAACTACCGTTCCTGATGCCTTCCTTGTGCAGGTGGCCTTCTGCTGGGTCGCACTCTCGCTCTGCTCTGCACCATGACTCTTGCCACTTCCATGGCAGCGCGGCAGGGCCACACGAGCATGGCGGCACATCAGATCGCGATGCAGATCTGGCTCGCTGTCTCTCTCATGTCCGACTCCGTGGCTCTTGGCGCTCAGGTGAGGTAGGGAGAGGTGAAAAAGGGAGAAGTGGCAGGGGGAGTGAGGTGGGGCAGGGCCACACGAGCATGGCAGCGCATCAGATCGCCATGCAGATCTGGCTCGCTGTCTCTCTCATGTCTGACTCCGTGGCTCTTGGCGCCCAGGTGAGGGCAGCATGGAAGGAGTGTAGAGTGTGAGGGAATGGTAAGGTGCGGAGAGAAGCCAGAGAGAGGGTGGGAAAGGAAAGGGGGGCAGGGCCACAGGTGCATGGCGGCACATCAGATCGCCATGCAGGTTCGGCTCGCAGTGTCCCTCACCTCAGATGGCTTTTGAGACGTCTCAAAAATCTCAGATGGCTCTGCTCATGGGCCTTACCACTGTCGCTCTTCTCACCCGTTTCCTCCTTGCCTCGCTTGGCCCCCATCAACCCTCTCTGTCCTTCCTTTATTTTCTCCCTCCGTCAATCAACCCTGTCCCTCCGTGCCTTCCTTTCCCACCAGACCATGCTGGCGTCATCCTTTGCGCGCCACGATGCGAGGAGTGTGAGGAGGATTGCCATGCGCGCCACACAGATGGCGCTGCTCATGGGCCTCACCACCGCCGCCCTGCTCACCCTCGCCACGCCCTACATCCCCCGCGCATTCACGTCCGACCACACGGTTCAGAAGGCTCTCACGTCTCTCATGCCAGTATGTTCCTGGCCTCCCATGCTTTTCTTCTAGGAGCACTCTCCACCCAGTTTAGCCCCTCACCCACCACCCTCGCCACGCCCTACATCCCCCGCGCATTCACATCCGACCACACGGTTCAAAAGGCACTCACTTCCCTCATGCCGGTATGCTCCTTGCTTCCTTGCTTCCTTGCTTCCTTGCTTCCTTGCTTCCTTGCTTCCCTGCTTCCTTGCTTCCTTGCTTCCTTGCTTCCTTGCTTCCTTGCTTCCTTGCTTCCTTGCTTCCTTGCTTCCTTGCTTCCTTGCTTCCTTGCTTCCCTGCTTCCCTGCTTCCTTGCTTCCTTGCTTCCTTGCTTCCTTGCTTCCTTGCTTCCTTGCTTCCTTGCTTCCTTGCTTCCTTGCTTCCTTGCTTCCTTGCTTCCTTGCTTCCTTGCTTCCTCGATTCTCACATTTCCTCTCTGGAAGAACTCCGACACGGCGTAGCCCACGCCGTGTTTTGAGTCGACTCAAAACTAGACTCCGACACGGCGTAGCCCACCCCACGCCGTGCTTGCTCGCCCTCCTCACCCTCGCCACGCCCTACATCCCTCGCGCATTCACTTCGGATCACACAGTTCAGAAGGCCCTCACCTCCCTCATGCCGGTGCGTGCATGAGGCATCTAGGCTCTTGCCTGCTGCGCTCTGTGCATTTGAACCACTTGGATGTTCAACCTGCCTTGCCACGCCCCACATCACTCTTGAGTCGACTCAAAAGTCGATGTTCAACCTGCCTTGCCACGCATCACTCCAGCTTTCCTTGTGATATGCCGCTCCTCTACTTCCACTCCCCTACCTCCATACTTCCCATCCACCCCACTCCCCCAGTTCGTGGCAGCCACACAGCCCATCACATCTCTCGCCTTTGTCTTTGACGGGTTACACTACGGCGCATCCGACTTTGCCTACGCCGCCACTGCAATGGTGAGTGCTCACTCCGATTCCAACCTCTTTATTGTTTATTGGACACACGCCTCTTACTCCGTCACTGAGCCGTCCCAAGCTTTGTCTTTGACGGGCTGCATTATGGCGCATCCGACTTTGCCTACGCCGCCACCGCCATGGTGAGTCCCCTACCACGGTCCTCCTCTTCTGCTCGCACCTCTTGACCCTTTGGAGTCGCCTCAAGCTTTGTCTTTGACGGGCTGCATTATGGCGCATCCGACTTTGCCTATGCCGCCACTGCAATGGTGAGTCTTCTCTTGCTCCCTCCCTTCCTTATTGAGTTGCCTCAAAGTGTGCCTTTGATGGGCTGCATTATGGCGCATCCGACTTTGCCTACGCCGCCACCGCCATGGTGAGTCCTCACTCTGACTCGTGTCGCTTTACCCCGTATCGGGCTCACGTCTCTTAGTCCTTCCATACTAAGCTGCCGCAAGCATTGTCTTGAGTCATGGCGGGCTGCACTATGGCGCCGCTAACTTCGCCTACGGCTGCACTATAGCTGCCACCCCCATGGTGACGGTCTACTGCCGACCTTGCCGTTGAGTCATGACGGGCCGCACTATGGCGCCTCTAACTTCGCCTACGGCTGCACTATAGCTGCCACCCCATGGTGACGGTCTACTGCCGACCTTGCCGTTGAGTCATGACGGGTCGCACTATGGCGCCTCTAACTTCGCCTACTGCTGCACTTCAGCTGCCACCGCCGTGGAGACTGTCTATTGCCGACCTTATTCGAGTCACTTCTATCGCCCTACTTGCTGTTGTGAGACGTCTCAAAACACTTCTTCATACACGTGGCCTCTAACTTCGCGTATGCTGCCACCGCCATTGTGACTGGCTATTGCCGACCTTATTCGAGTCACTTGTATCGCCCTACTTGCTGTTGTCCATGCTCTTCACCTTCCGTGTTTCCTTTCCTCTCCCCTCCCTCTCTCCCGTTGCCAGATCACAGTGATGCCGCCCATAGCTGGTGTACTGGCGTATGCCCCGAAGGTCATGGGCATTCATGGCGTGTGGGTCGGCCTCACACTCATCATGACTGCACGCATGCTCATCGGCTTAGCAAGGTGCTTGCATCATACCTGCTGTATCGTTTGCCCTCTAGTTGTTGCTGCTGTTGTTTGTTTTTTCTTTTTCTTTTTACTCTTTAGTTTGCATTAAAAGTCGTTCCTGCCATGTGCATCTGTCCTTAATTGTCACACTCATTACAGGGTGTGCACTGCAAGTGGTCCTTGGCGCATACTCAAGGAGGCTCCAGACTCACAGCCCTCATGAAGCCAGCGGCAGGAACTGCTGCTTCACCACAAGTCATCTTGAAGCCCCAGGTTCTTCATGTCTCCAAACGAAGCAGCCATTAATAATTGGGAATAACGTGAGTGTAGGGAGAGCTCACATCATCGTGGACGGATATTAGGTCTCCATAATTCCGTGGCCTATATGTACACGCATTTCGTTCGGTGTAAGGCAGGGACACGTGTACATAGAATCATTTTCAGCTTTAAACCCTACTTTTGTTCGGGTAGATGTTAGACAACTCGCAGACGTAATAATAAAGCAGTAATGATGCACCAGGGAGCCTATTAATTCTCAGATTAGTGATTACGAATCTGGTTGTTCAGACTGCTACCTCTCAGAATGACAATTAGATATGTCCACGTTTAAAGCTCAAGGCCCAAATTGCAGACCGCGAGGGGCAAGATTAGTATTATTGATGGAGGGGGTTCGGAAACTTGCTCGGTTGCAACTTGGGACTTGAGCAACCAAACTCGAAGTTCTCCCCCCTTGATAAGTGTAGCGAGGTGTTGTGCGAAAGGGTAACAGCCGTCGCTCACAACACCCCCTGTCAACTTCTGTGAGAACCTTCCCAGCAGCCCAACGGTCAACCTTACTAAAGTTGAACAATTTGGGCCTTGAGCTTTAACGTGCCTGATGCGCCAGTCGAACAGGGCCCAGATTTGACCGCTCGCAAGCTGCAAATCGAACTGCAGTCGCGCGGCTCGATGTGCAATTCAGTCAACCACTTTCAATGCTCGCTCAAGCTCCCGAATGCTCATACTCCTTTCAAATCTTTAGAAACTCTCCAACTTCCTGCCAACCCCTGAAAACCTGCCTGTACACCTAAGGTATTTGGCAACTATTTCCTGTACAATTGCCCCAACCACTCCCCCCTCTCAAGCAACTCGGGCAATATTCGTGCTGCCCCTTCGTACAGTGGAATATGAGCAAGATCATTGCAAACATGACACCATGAAGCGGGGGATTGACTCGCTGTAAGTAATGTAGGCCTGGCTCTAATCGGTTAGTACAGTCCAGGAGTTCGGTCAGCTTCCCGGTATTTTCAGGCGGTTTGTGTTTGGCCCGCAGAAATTACCCCAGATTTTATCTGGGTGGCATCAGGCAATTGACAGACCTGGTTGGCCAGTGGCCTCGCCTCTCCCCTCGATCCCTGCACCCATTTCCCCACTCCCCCCCCCCCCCTCCCGCGTCGTGGTAACCTCTACGCGCTTCCTCACGCGCTCTTGTTCCCCCATGCGGAGTTCCGCGACCGCGAACGCGAAGCACTCATCCACCGCCAACCACCCCAACAAGATCAGCCCCCCCCCCCCCGTTTCCCCTCCCGGTCACTTTCCGCACTCTCTCCTTTTTATCAGTGCGCTGCCATTGCGCGCGTCAGGACTCAGAAAACTTTCCCCGCAACCTGATTTTTACTGGGGAGGACGAATTTGAGACAGTCGCTTCGCTGTCCACCTTCGCTGCCCTATAACCGCATCCCGCCGCGCCATGCTAGTTTAAAACTGACGCGGCAGCTGTCCTCGATGACGTGGCATCACGAAAAGACGCGACGCCACAGCATTGGGTTCGTTATTTCGACGCTCCTGCTGGTAGCGTCGTCTTGCGCGCTGACAGCAGGCGGAGCAGGCGGAAGCAATCATGGCGGAAGGATCAGCGGAAGCAGACGAGGAATGGCGCAGCTTTTAGCAGCCGGGGAAGCGCCTTCCCACCGCCCCATGCGGTTCTATCCCACAATGGCCGCTCCCACCGGTCAGAACGTGCGGCGCGGCGTTTCCCTGCCGATAAGCTACTACAGAACAACGCCGCAATCAGCCCACGTCGCCGATTCCGGCGCTAACAAATCCTCCCCTTCGAGCCGCACCATCGGTAGCGAGATCAGCGATAGTACCAGTCGCAACAGCGCGGCCGGCGCTCCCGGAAACTCGAACTTAAAGCCGTTCGCGGGCCCGATAGGGATGAGTCCGGGGTGGAACAGCTTTCAGTGTCGGAATAGTCCGTACTGCGGGGTAATGTATGCGCCGATTAAGGTGTACATTATCTGGTACGGCAAATTCTCCGCGACGCAGAAGGAGCTCGTGCGCGCCTTCACGCGGTCGCTCAACCCCAGCTCGGATACCTCTATAACGGGTACGCTGCTTTCTCGAATTGTTGCAAGTTTCAACTGACATTTGCGTTTCGCATTCGTATCCTGCGCCTCTCCCCCCCCAACCAACCGCTTCCGCCACTCCCGTTCCCCCACCCCCATTTTCCTGCCTCGGTTCTTTCGCGCATCTCTCCCCATTCCCCCCCCCCACCCCCGCACCTCCACAGCGACCCTATGGCGGAACATTAACCGCCCGTCTACCGAGTAACTTTTGAGAGTTCTCGAAACCCAAGCCTTCCCCGCCCAAACCGCCTTCTTCCCCCTCCCTTCCCCTTTGCCTGTCCCCCCACCCCTCCTCCCCCACCCCCACCCCCCTCCTCCTCTCTCCCTTACCCCCCACAGTACCCTTGTGGTGGAACATCAACCAGCTTTACTACGACCGTAACGGGCGTTTCATCTCCAGCTCCGTTACAATTGCAGATGAAACGTCCGACACGGCCTATTCCCGCGGCTCGACTCTAAGCGACTCTGAGATCGACTCGCTCGTCTCATCTGCCATAAGCGGCCAAAAGCTGCCGTACGATCCAAACGGCGTGTACTTCGTTCTCTCAGATGAAACGGTCGGCCAGGTGAGATGACACCCTGAGATGACACCATGAGATGACACCCTGAGATGACACCCGTGAATTAACAGACATGTTGTTGACCCATCAACTATCTATGCTGTGGGGCAGGAATTGGACTGAGAGGCAGGAAAAGCACCAAGCGCTTAGAGTCAACTCGGATTCCCCATCTCCCTCTCCCTCTCCCTCTCCCTCTCCCTCTCCCTCTCCCTCTCCCTCTCCCTCTCCCTCTCCCTCTCCCTCTCCCTCTCCCTCCCCCTTCCCCTCCCCCTTCCGCAACCCCAATCCCAATCTCCCTCATCTCTATCCCAGTCGTCCCAGGGATCCGCATTCTGCACGCACTACTGCGGCTGGCACACCTACACGGACGTCTCAAGCAAGGGGTTCATGTTGTGTGTCTTGCTCAATTTTCCCCTCCCAATCTTAACGCCCTGATATCGTATCCCAGTCTTCCCAGGGATCCGCGTTCTGCACGCACTACTGCGGCTGGCACACCTACACGGACGTCTCTGGCAAGGGCCGCGTGGTCAGCGGCTGGATAGGAAACGCCAAGACCCAGGTGAGGCTGGATAGGGAACGCAGCACCCACGTGAGGCTGTTTTCTGTCTCTAGTCTGGCAAGGGTTGGGTGGCAAGGGTTGGGTGAGGAAGCTGCATCCCAGCCTGCGTGAGGAAGCCCGGATGGGAGAAACCCGATCCATCCCAGCCTGGGTGAGGAAGCTGCATCACCATCCGAGTTTTAGCCCGTCCATAGCTCTCTCCTCCCCAACCCCCCTCCTCTCTCCCCCACACACACTCTTTCTGCTGTTGTGCGTGCGTGTCAGTGTCCTAAGAGCTGCATCGTAGGCACCATTGCAAGCTCGTCCGCCTCGCCCAACCGGGACAAGGGCATGGATGGGCTCCTGTCCGTGTATGCGCACGAGCTAGCAGAGGCAACTAGTAGCCCATATCTGCAGACGTGGATGGACGACAAAGGGGACGAGAACGCCGATAAATGCGGATGGAAGTGAGTGAATCTGCTCGGGCTTTTGATCATGTCTCTTTGATTGTCTTTTTTCCTTTTTTTTCCTTCCACCGCTGATCCCAAGTTAGTCTTTCCAACTTCTAGTTTTGTTTTGTTTTGCTTTCCTCTGCTTCTCCCCCGCTCCTTGATTTTTTATGCTTTTCTTTCGTCCGTGCACCTTCCCTTCCCAAAACCTACTCCCACCATTAGGTTTGGCACTATTTATCGTGATTCCTCGAACGCTCCGTACAACCTAGTAGGTGTCGACGGTTACACGTTTTTAATTCAGCAGAACTGGGACTTGACCAAAGGCAGGTGTGCAACCACTGTGCCTTACCCAGGCTCGAGCTCGTCATCGCCACCATTGACAAAATCACCGCCACCATCAGGCTACTCGGCACCCCCGCCACCCCCACCGTCGCCGCCACCCGGTTCAACTCTCGCTGAACTCTTTCAACTTCTGTGGAAGCTGATTTTTGGCTCCAATAAACAGAGATCGCAAGCACCACCACCACCACCACCACCTTGAAATTATAAAGAAATTTGGACACATAACCGTATGTTTTTATGTGTTGTGTACATATCGTTGTATATATACACTGAAGTTGGTGAGAGCTCTCAAATCCATGCCATTTGTTGGTGGTTGGTTGAATCTGCAAAGGGTGGATGATGTTGGGCTGAGAAAATAGCCCTTAGTATCTTTGCAGAGGTGAACTCTGGGTAGAACTGATGTAGTAGCGGAAGCGTTTAATGAAGAGTTGTGAACCACCTTGCGCTAGTATGTGAGGGCAAAGTTGATTGATTAAAGCAAAGAGATACAAGATTATATAAGAGTACAGGGAATACGAAGAGATGCGATTCCAACTGTTTTACTTGTTGCTGTTGCGGTTCGATACAGTGACGACTCGGGCAACTGCTCTGTAACGAGTCAGTTGTGTGTCCTTGCTGTCGCGCTGTATTTGTCAGGTCAAAGGTCGCTGACCTTTGACTTTCGCGTAACCTCTAGCAACTGCTCAACTTCCGAGGGTTGACTCGCCAGTGCTTCGATATGCTTCGCTTCGCTTCTGACTTGGTGTTTCGACACGACAGAGGCGCTTAGAATTAATTGTTTCCAACACTCCCCTTCGCTTCTGGAGTGTCGCCGTTGGTGACGCGGCTCTGTCCAGTCAGCAGCATGCAGTACTCGAACTTCTGCTTTCCGAGCTTCTTGGTCAAGTAGTCAGCTGCCATCTCAGATGTGGGGCAGTATGACAGCTCGAGTCTTCCTTTCTCGATCTCGTCCTTCACGAAGAAGTATCGCAGGGCGATGTGTTTCGTCCTGTTCGCGAAGCCGTTCTTGTTGGCTATGCGAATGGCCGACTGGTTGTCGCAGAACAGGGTAAAAATTGGTAACTGGGATAGCTTGGCTTCCTCCAGGAGTTCGCGAAGGTACAGTCCTTCCTTGGTGGCTGAGCAGAGTGCGATATATTCTGCTTCAGCTGAAGAGAGGGCGATTAATTCCTGCTTGCTCGACTGCCAGGAGATAGGTCCGATAGGCTCGAGGCGATAGATGTAGCCGGTGCGCGAGCGTCTGTTGTCGGAGTCACCGGCGTGATCGGCGTCGACGTAGCCGATTAGTTTAGGCGCTGTAGTCGTGTTCTTATGGTAGGTCAGGCCGATTGTTGGGGTGATGACGAGGTAGTAGAGCGCGGTCGAGCTCCGCCAGATGTTCCGCTTCAGGTTTCTTGAGGTAGGTGGCGAGCTGGCTTGCAGAGTACGATAGGTCCGGGCGGCAGGTGACAGCTGCGAAGAGGAGGCATCCCAGCTTCCTCTGGTAGTCGCGTATGCCGGCGGGCTTGAGTAGAGCGGAGCCTTCCTTGTGGTTTCCTGCCGTGTAGCGGTATGGCGTGGAGATGACGATCGGCGTGAGTGCGAAGCGCTTGGCGATGGTATCGGTGTATTTTGCGGCGCTGAGGTAGATCGCATTTTCTTCTTCCTGGATGTTGAGGCCGAGGTACTGTGTGACAGTGGATGAGACCGTGAGTGTGAGATCCTTTTGTAGCTCCCCTTCGAACCAGGTAGTGACGCTGTCGGTTGAGCCGATGTAGAGCAAATCGTCTACGTAGACGATTAGCAGGATGTGGTCGGTTCCCTTTGTGAGCCGGTACATGCCTTGGTCGTGAGGTAGCTGACGGAATCCGATGCGAGTGAGTCTTGCGTGTAGGTATTGCTGCCACAGCCTTGGGGCTTGTTTGATACCATAGAGCGACTTCAACAGCTGGCAGACTTGGTTAGGCTCTCCGTTGGAGCCGTGCGGTAGCTCGACGAAGATTTCTGCGTCGACAGGTGCGTAGAGAAATGCGTTGGCGACGTCAATTTGTCGCAGCTTCTTCTTCTTCATGGCGGCGATCGCGAGAAGAATTCGTAATGACGTGTGTCGGCTGACTGGAGCGAACGTCTCAGTGAAGTCGCGCCCATGTTCTTGGTCGAAGCCGCGTATGACCCAGCGTGCTTTGAACTTGTCGATGGTGCCGTCCGCCTTTGTCTTCACACGGAAGACCCACTTCCCGGTGAGTATAGTCTTGTTTCGTGCCACTCCGATGGGAACAACTTTCCAGGTGTTGCGTTCCTCCAGTGCTTTCAGCTCCTTGTCCATGGCTTCGGGCCATTTTTCCTTATGCTCCCCCCCCAGAGCCTGCTGAACTGTAACAGGCTCCTTAGGAATGGTTGCGCCGTGAACCGCGGTGACGAGGCCAAGTATTTGGAGTCCACTCTGTGTGTAGCGGGGGAGTGTTGTGTCCTCGGGATAAACTGCTTCATCTCCCGCTTCTGGTGTTGGGTTGAAATTTGGTCCTACGCGTTCTGCTTCGTCGGTGTTGACTTGTGCAGGTGTAACGTATCCGTTATCGGCGAAGTGATAGTACACTTCGGCGTTGATGCTGTCGCGTGGATTTTCGTCGTCCATCGGGACATCAACCGAGCAGTAGGGGAGAGGTCCGGCTTCCTCCGAGGCTCCTTCCACGTTTTGCTCGTCCAGGTCAGCTTCATCTTCTGCCGAAGCGAAGGCTCGGTCCCCACGAAATCCACCTTTGACATCTCGTGAGGTCTCCAAGTTGTACAGGTACGTTGAGAGGGTGAGGCGCTCGTAGAAAATGACATCACGTGCTGCTACTGTTTCCTTTGAGTGGACGTAAAAAATATTCCACGCGTTGTAATTCTTTTCGATGCCCAGGTGTAGCCCCCTCTGTGCGCGTTGTGAGAATCGGCCAGCGCGTGCAGCTGGGGGTCGGTACTGTACCATGCAGCCAAAATTCCGCAACATTTTTGTGCTGCCCAGTTTTCCTGTCCACAGCAGGTGCGGTGATGCGTTGTTCGGAAGCGATGATGACGAAAGCAAGTCGTGCAACATCACGGCGTGGTCCATTGCTTCGGGCCACTGGTGGTTGGGTAGCCGCATGCCACGTAGCAGCTTGCGCATGGTGTTCTGAAGGGTCCTGTTCATTCTTTCTGCCACACCCTGCTGTTGATGGGCGTAGGGAAGGGAGATGAGCCGCTTGATTCCTCTCTCTGCCAAGTACTGCTTGAACCTCTGTGAGGTGTATTCTCCTCCTCCGTCAGACTGGAAACTCTTCAACTTAACTCCCGATTCCCGTTCTGCTACTGGGAGCCAGGCTACGAAGGCTTCGAGGGCCATGTCGCGGCTTGGAAGGTTGAGATGCCAGACATAACGAGTGGCGGCGTCGATGAACGTGATGGTATAGTTGTATGCCGCTTGTCCAGGTTCGCGATTGTACAGGATGTCGCTGTACACCTTTTCAAGTGGTGCGTAAGCTGGTGCGCTCGGGTTGTGGTGAGAGATGAAGGGCTGATGCGGTAAGTCGGCTTCTGGGCACGTGAAGCAGGTTCCTCTCATTCGTCGAAGTTCTCTGCCGTCGGGTAGAAGTAGTGAATCTTTGTCAAAAACGCCTGTTCTTATCGTGTTGTTTAACGTCGTGTTGCTCGGATGTCCCATTCTTTTATGCCAGAGATCTTCGTCGGCGCGATGTCCGGGTGAGCGTCTGTACAGATCGGAGTTGGAATAAAAACTGGCGGTGAGATTCGTACTTCGGTGGACTTCTCGAGGAGTTGGATTCAGCAGCTGCGCTGGAGTCGGTGGGGTGTCGTCGTCGATTGGGGCTGGTGCAGTTGAAGGACCCGCGATTGGTGCCGATGTTGTCTCTGCTGCTGCTGGTGTTGTCTCTGCTGCTGCCGATGTTGTCTCTGCTGCTGCCGATGTTGTCTCTGCTGCTGCCGATTGTTGAATCGTTGCTAATGCTCTTGTTCGTTCTGCCTCAGGAATGGTATGCGAATACCAGAAGCCTTCGGGGCTGAAGTCAGGATCAAGATCCGGTGGGTGCGTCCAGGAGGTGAAGGTGACGATTCCGTCGCTGTCGGCGGTGCCTAAATCTGGAATGAAGTCGAGGACGAACACGTTGTTCTTCAGCACGGCCTTGCCGATGTAAAGGCCTCCTTTCCCGTGGTACAGTTTGAACTCCTGTGTTGTGCTGTCTGCTTCGAGGTGGATGCCTTTCGCCATCAGCTGACTGACGCTTAGTAAATTGTAGCCGAGTCCCTCCGCAATTAGAACCTTTGACATCTGTAGTATAACGTTTGTCTCCCTTGACTGAAGTTGAACCACGCCTTGTCGTCGTGTGCGCAGGTTTTGATTGTTGGCGACGGTAATGACGACTTCGCGTTGAAGTTGGTGCTCGCGCTGAACGAAACGTCCCGAAGAGCACATGTGCTGCCCGCAGCAACTATCCAAGAACCAAGTATCTTTCCCGGACGGCTCACTTTGGGCAATGGCTGCGTATGTCGGGTTCAGCTCCAGTGTCTCGCGGCGAGGAGTGGATTCTTCGAGTTATTCTTCTGGTGAATAGTACGGTGGTGATTCGGTGATGCAGGAGTCGGAGAGTCTTGCCATACAACTGACGATATTTCTTGCTCCTTGTGCAGGTTGTCCCGTTGATGTTGTGTGAGCTTGAGCGGTGGGGTTCGCTTGTGTTGAAGCGACTTGGCCGCTTGAAGGTCGAAGCTGGCGCTGCGGCGGTGTTGACTGCTGTCGATTCGGGCAGTGTGTGCGAGGGTGTCCTGAAGTCTTGCAGAGATGACAAAATGGAGGTACGGGTTTTGGTTGATGCCGATTGTTGTTGTTGTTGTAGCGCCGTTGAGTGTGAAACGCAAATTCGGGAACTGACGTTTTCTTCTTGTGCCGCTCCTCTTGCAGGTCCATGTCTTGCTGCTCGGCGTGAATTTCGGCGCAGAGTGCTGCTTCGGAGATCTTCCCGTGAGCTCGGAGTATGGCGCGAGTGGAGCGCCAGTGTGGACCAAGACCGCCGATAACAACTGTGACGAAGGCGTCTTCTGATATCGATCCTCCACATCGAAGGAGTTTGTCGCGCAATTCGCGGCAGCGACTAATATACGCC